CGGGTAGCACCGCACGTACACGGGGTACACGCACGTAGCGTAACGCGGGTACACCGGCACGTACACGCGCGGTACGAGCACGTAACGCGGACACGCGTACACGCGGTACACGCACGTACACCGGACCGACGTACACGCATGTACAGCACGCAGATACAGCCGCGGTACACGCAAGTGCACGCGTACACGCACGCGGTGCCGCGGGTACACGAGACGTAGACCATCGGTACACGCACGTACACAGGTACACGGCACGTGCACGGGTACCCACGTACACGCACGTACACGCAGGTAAGCGCACGCCGAGGGCTGCCACTACCATGATTTATTGCAATCCAGGCTATCCCACAATTCTTGCTATTAGTAATACCGGTCGTGTATCCGTGTACATGCGCGTGTATCTGTGTGTACCCGCGTGCACACGCGTGTACGTGCGTGTATCTGCGTGTACGTGCGTGTACCCGCGTGCACGTGAGTGTATGTGCGTGCACACGCGTGTACGTGGGTGTATCTGCGTGTACGTGCGTCTACGTGCGTGTATCCGCGTGTACGTGCGTGTACCCGCGTGCACGTGCGTGTACCCGCGTGTATCTGCGTGTACGTGCGTGTACGTGCGTGTACGTGCGTGTACGTGCGTGTACCCGCGTGTACGTGCGTGTACCCGCGTGCACGTGTGTGTACCCGCGTGTATCTGCGTGTACGTGCGTGTACAGCATGTACTCGCGTGTACGTGCGTGTACCCGCGTATACGTGCGTGTACGTGCGTGTACATGCATGTACCCGCGTGTACGTGCGTGTACCCGCGTGCACGTGCGTGTACCCGCGTGTACATGCATGTACGCCGCGTGCAAGTGCGTGTACCTGCGTGTACGTAGGTACGCCTGCGTGTACGTGCGTGTTCCCGCGTGTATGTACGTGTACCCGCGTGCAAGGGCGTGTACCCTCGTGTACGTACGTGTACCTGGCGTGTACGTACGCTGTACCCGCGTGTACTACGTCGCAGCGTCGTGTACGTGCGTGCGTGTATTGCATTGCATTGCGTGACTTCGCAAATAGAAAACGGATCAGAAACCTATTTCCCATTTCCTATTTAGACTTTTGAAATAGGAAACGGATCAGAAACTATATTCTCATTTCCTATTTAGACCTTTAAAAAGGAAAGGATCAGAAACGTATTCCTATTTTCTATTTTGATTTTAAAAATGAAATAGGTCAGAAACCCATTTCCTATTGCACCGTTCAAATGGACAAAACAAACTAACGTAGTACCGTGATGTCCAGACGGACAGACGACGGACAGAGATCGCAGATAATATTTAACTATAGGCGCGCGTGTAGTTTATAACGCTTGCCGGGGCGGTCGGTAGCGCCCCGACACATATCGAGAGCGAGTGGGCGCAGTATTAGCACGCAGATAGCATGAAAACATAGCCAATGAGCGCCAGAAAATCAATATCAATAACATCACACAGCACAACAGCGATCTTCTTTCTGTACACCTATTAGGTGCATCCGCGTGATGATATTCCTCGTTAATAAAAAGCGTTCATTAGGCTGAGTACATGAACCCGACACGCAGTCTCCGAACTCGAACTACAAGTACCCGCAGTATTGGCTTCCTCCTGCTGGCGATATGAACGCTGCGCACTGCACTTCCTCTGTGTTGCTGCGTGGGATGGAAGCGCGGGAGTAGAAGCTAGAACCGCCACCATACTCGGTGGTCCGTTGCGATTTCCGGAACCTTGTCAAAAGCCCCTCAATCAACACGAAGTCCCTTCCTCCTCCGATCACACACCGGGTTAAGTAGCGAGCAACAAGGCAAAGCAGTACGCAACCACAAGCGCCAGTTGGAGCGTTTCAAATAAAATTATAATGCTAAATAAATACGAAATCTACTTACTACCAAAGTCTTAATGTTTCTCTACATCTCTTTCACCTATTATTGCCGACAATTTTCCTGTAAATGCCGTCCAAAATGCTCATCTGCACACATCTGCCAGCATGTGTTGCAAATGAGGCAATTTGGACGGCATTACAGGAAATTGTCGCATAATAGGTGAAAGAGGGTAGAAAACATTAAGACTGGTAGTAAATAAGATTTCGTATTTATTTAGCATTATATTTATTGAAACGCTCCAAGTGCCTGTGAGTACAACGACGCACGCACGCACGACGCAGCGGCACACGAACGGCACACACACACATACAGCACACACACACCACACCACACACACACACACACACACACACACACACACACACACAGAAAAACATCATTTTACCTACTCAACACACTTACTTTAAAATCACTTTACTAGTACAAGAATATGCTGAAGTTTTTTTTTGTATATATTTTTCTTCAATGTTTTAAGCATTGTATTGTACTGTATCAGGTCAGAGAAATTTTAACTATTTTAACAACTCAACACTATTGCTTTTATCAGATTTTTTCTCACATGAACAAAACTGTCGTCAGACATGTATTTGTATCACAATATACATCCAATAAACGATTTATAATAATAATAAAATGTAGCATACAGGTCAAGAATAGATAAAACTCTATGATGTTATTATCTACCTCTTGATGACAAGGTACAAATCTCAACAATACAACTCATATGAGTCGATATGGCTTTGACTCGCCAGACGCCCATGCAGCACCCGAGCGACAACGCAATCTTCGAGGGATCCGTCAGATTAGAATTAATCGCCACATGCGCTATATCCACGTAAGGCAAAACGTCACGGGACGCCCTCTATAATGGGACGGGAAGCCACGCCGGCACCACGTCCGCCGACAGAGGCGCCACCTCGTGCTCGAAAGGGTCGTATGCGATGGTAAGCTTTGCTGACCGCACGAGCGTCTGGACCTTATAGTGGGAAAGCTGCCTCCCTGGCGCTGCTGCTGTTGGCTGTTCACGCCATTGAGTAACCGTTCTTCAGGTTCGGCACTTCGCCGACAATGATGTCACCAGGTGAGAGCGGATCTGATCGCTCCAGGTCGGTGTGAGGGTAGAGCGCCCGCCGCCAGTTCATACGGCCACCGCCAAAGTAGTAACTTTGGTCGATCGTTGACGACGCACACATGCTGGCGTTGTGGTTCCTAGCACTGAGCAGTTCGTAGGCCAGCCTGCACACCTACACGCGAGGAACGACGATATCGCATCGGTATTTAATACATCTGGTTTCGCTTTCGATTCATGCTGTTAGTATAATTATTTATTCCGCCATTCGTTCGTTCCTTCATTGATGCATTGATTCATTATTCATGCATTCATTCATGCATTATTCATTCATCTCTTCTAATCCTCTCTTCTTCGCTTCCTTCCCATCTATCTCTATTCCCTCGTTCTTTCTCTCTCTCTCTCTCTCTCTCTCTCTCTCTCTCTCTCTCTCTCCTCTCCTCTCTCTCTCATCCTCTCTCCCCCCCCCCCCCCCCTATATATATATATATATATATATATATATATATATATATAGCGAGAGAGAGAGAGAGTATATATAGTAAGAGCCACTCTCTCTCTACTTATATATAATATATATAAATAATTATATATATATACATACATAATATATATATATATATAACATACATCTACGCGCCCCTGGTTATAACACGCTACGTGAGATGACATCGTGGCAGACGAGGTAGTCGGTGCGCGACAGGAAGTAGACGTCGCGGATGACGCCTCTGAGCGACGCATCCGTGTAGCGCATGTCGAGGCCCGCCGACGCCGTCACCTCGCTCGTTAAGCAAGAAGTCTATACTCCGCGTACCTGAAGCAACGCGCGCGGGGATGCCCCCGAGTTCGTGAATCACAGCCACAAGCACTAGACCAACTGTATGGCGTACTGCTGCTGATTTATTGGCAATAGTTGGCTACGTTTTAAAGGTAACTTACCAAACATGACTAGTATAACGTTGAGAATGAGAACAAGAAGAAGAAGACGACGAAGAGGAAGAGTAGGAGGTGGTAGTGGCGGTGGTGATGGTGGTATAGTGGTGGGTGGTGGTGGTGGTGGTGGTGGTGGTGGGTGGTGGTGGTGGTGTGTTGTGGTTGGTGGTGGTGTGGTGGTGGTGGTGGTGGTGGTGGTGGTGGTGGTGGTGGTGGTGGAGTGGTGGTGGTGGTGGTGGTGGTGATGGTGGTGGTATAGTGGTGGTGGTGGTGGAGTGGTGATGGTGATGGTGGTATAGTGGTGGTGGTGGTGGTGGTGGTATAGTGGTGGTGGGTGGTGGGATTTGGCAGCGGTGGCGACGGCGGCGGTGGTGGTATAGCTGGCACTCACTTCTTCTTGGCACTACTTAACACCTCTGGGTCATCCGTCGCTAGGTAAATCTTGCTGGGAGCATTGTCGGCAGTGGGCAGCGTGTGCAACCGCCGTGCGTCGTAGCGTCGCACCTCCTCCACGTATGTCTCGGTGTCATACGCAAGTGCCTCCTTGATGACCTTGTCCGTCCTACGCACGTGTACGCTGCAGCATGAAATACGTTATGATTTAATACATTATGTATCAAATCAAGAGCTAATATTAATTATGTATTAGTGTATATTCTTACCCTTGTCCGTCCTGCGCACGTGTACGCTGCAGCAGGTGCGTGAAATACGATATGATTACATATGTATCAAATCAAGAGCTAATAATATATTAATCATGTATTAAATGTATATTCTTAGCATTTGATCAAATCATATCATATATCACACCATGCATAGCCCGATAGTTAGCTCGCTACGCCACGTGATTCTATGAGAGAATGAAGCCCTACCCGACAACGGGCGATGCGAAGTCGAGCTCAGCCTCTACTTTGCGCATCTCTGTCGCCAGCTCAGGCTGCAGCTTGAACAGGTAGTCGGCTAGCTGGCCAACCCACCACGCGCTCGGGTGGCTGTGCGTGCGCGCCAGCCTGCGCGCCATGTCGGCAGGAACTGCTTCCGGCAGATAGTCCGGCCTCGGTTCGATGACGTCAATCATAGGTAGATCGACAGTGTCTACGTCGTCAAGGCGACCGACGGCGTCTGTAGAAGAACGAGTGGAATGGTAGCATTCATTAAAAAAATACAATTAAAAGGACATAGCTGATATGAGGTTGACTCTACAGGGCAGTGATATAGTTCCACAGAAAATAAGAGACGGGGTTTACGCGAACATTCCCCGGCTCATCTCTTATTAATCTTCCGTGGCGATAATTAACACCTTCATATCTCATTAATAATTTTATATTCCAAAGCTTGATTTTTAATAATTGGGGGTTTCCCATCGCTGCTATTACAGGTAGAGAGAGTCACGTGCTGTTTCAATATTCTCGATTTTACCTAATGTCAGGTAATTAATACGTCACCAATCCTGATATCAAGTAATCAATACGTCACAAATCTTGATGTCAAGTAATCAATACGTCACAAACCCTGATGTCAGGTAATCAATACGTCACCAACCCTGATGTCAGGTAAATTATCAATACGTCACCAACGCTGATGTCAAGAATAAATTTCGTCAGCTAACCCTGATGTCGGGTAATCCTTAGTCACGTATCCAAGATGTCACCTCGTCATGTCAAGCATCCCTGATGTAACCCAATGATTACGTCATCTAATCGCTATCGTCACCTACCGGCCCACGGCACGAGCTGGGTGACGTCATTCACCGTACATCGCTCGCTGACGGGCAGCAGGACGGACTCCCAACCGCGCTTGCTGTAAGACCAGTTGCTCGAGTCGAGCACCAGGGTGCGCTGGTTGGCATAGGCGACGAGCAAGCAGTATACGACGTGGTGGAACTGGCAGGCGAAGCCACACCGCTTGTCAAGGTCACAGCGCAGCTTCCTCGCTGAACGACAGTCAGGTGGGTTCTGAGGGAATAACGTAGCAGATACATACACATAGATAGAGTTCTGACGGGAATAAGTAGCAGATACGTAATCTCTCTCTCTCTCTCTCTCTCTCTCTCTCTCTCTCTCTCTCTCTCTCTCATCCCTCTTGTCTCTCTTTCTCTCTCTCTTCTCTCTCCTCATCTCTCCCCTTCGCTTCTCTCTCTCCTGCTCTCTCATCTCTCTCTCTCTCTCCTGCTACTCTTTCTGCTCTCTATATATATATCTATATTTATATATTAGTATATATATAATATATATATTATATAGTATATATATCTATATTATATATATATATATATATATATATATATATATACGTGCGACATACTTGCGACGTGTGCGGCATACCTGAGACGTGTGCGGCATACCTGAGACGCGTGCAGACGCTTCTGTATGACGTCGCTGAGACTCGCCAGCTCAGCCTCCCTGCGCTCCCCGCTGCCTTCCGCGTCTCTCGAGAGACGAACGTCCTGGTTTAGCACTCTGTAAATGCGACGGCAACGTGGTTTTTTTTTAACAGCATTTTTATGCAGCACAAGGGGGTGGCATAGAGGAGGAAGGGAATGGTGATGAGGAAGAAATAATAAAGGAGAGGGTGATGAAGAGAACAAGAAGGAGAGGGTGGATGTGGACAAAAGAGGAGGAGTGCGAGAAGGAAAATGAAGCGAAAGGGAATGAGATGAGGAATATGGGACGAAGAGAAGGAGGAGGAGGAGGAGGAGGGAGGAGGAAGAGGAGGAGGAGGAGAACAAGGAGGAGAAGGTGGATGTGGACAAAAAGAGGAGGAGTGCGAGAAGGAAGGAAGCAAAAGGGGGAATGAAATGAGGAATATGGGGACGAAGAGAAAGGAGGAAGGAGGAGGAGGAGGAGGAGGATGGAGCGGGAGCGAGGGAGGAGGAGGAGGAGGAAAACAAGAATAAAGGGGAATACGAGAGAAAAAGGAAGAAGAAGTAGCGCCCTCTGACGGGTTACACCTGCCCTGCACACGTACCCCGATCCGAGCGTGACGTCGTCCAGGAGTCCAGAGTACCACTCAACACGGAGGCTGGAACAGGGTGCTTCACCTGACATAAGATGACATTATATTTCATGGTGAATACATGTAATAATTATCCTATTAGCAGCAGCTTTGACAACTGAACTAGCTGTCATTACCTCCGCCCAACGAAGTTGGAGGAGGTTATGTTTTCGCTCTCGTGTGCGTGTGTTAGTGTGGTTGCGTGGTGTTCGCAGCGATCGATATTAGACTGCGTCAGCCAGCGAGCCAGCGCAGGCCAGCTCAGCGGCGAGCGAAGGCCAGCCGAGCTGTGCTACAGAGTGAGGCGCAGCAGCAGCAACGAGCGGCTGCTACGAGCGAGCGAGCAGCAAGCCAGCGTGTACATGTAAGTACTCTGGCGTATATCGCGGGTTATTCGTGTGTTCGTGAGTCGTATGGCGTATGGCGTATGTCGCTCGCGGAGGTATGCACTCTCCGTGAGTGCACGTACTCTGTCTAGTTGTTAAAGCCATGTTTTCGAGAATTATATCGAGTGTTTCCCCCATTCTTATGCATTAGGCTACCGCGTTATTGGGCTGTGTAACATGGCAATCTATCTAGAGTAAACGAATGAAATGTATAGAACCTTCGTATTCAGCCAACATGCAGGTTTCGATGTTGTAACCCAGTATATAACCAGATGAGACGGGATAACTAGAGAAGCCGTTGTCCGAAAGGCAGGTGTCGGATTGCCAGCGGCTATAAGCGCAGATCTGCGCGGCAGTTCCGGCGCAATGGCCGCACAGGCGCGACGGCGGGGAACGTCCTACGACAGTATGCATCGCCCTGGGCAGCTATGGATCGCGTGGCCGCCGAAATGCATAGGGCCGGCGCACAATCCATAGGCTGCCCGCGAACCACGTCGATAATTTTTACCGCAGGAATACAATGAAACAGCTGAGGCTGGGCATTGAGGCTGCTGGTTCTTTTGCAAGTTTAAGGAAATATCTATAAAGTGTCAACTACCTTTCTACTTCGCACACTGTGTTGTATAAGTTTTTATTATGAATTGTATTTTATTATGCCGTCAGTGGCTTCATGTAACGGAGCGGCAGGCTGCAGCGGATACATTAAGTGTTTTATAATAATAATATGCGGAAATAATACGCCTGCTAGTTCATGTAAATAGAAATGTTCACCTAGTATATTACAACAATGCAGCGACGTAATAAGCACGATATTAATTGAACATAGACAACCCCAAACCACTGCGCCGTCGATCCCATAATTATTGCCATATAGCCGTAATCCTAGCCGTTCAGCTAGTTTGTTCAACTGGTTAATTTTACGCAGGCGAATACATGAAACAGCTGAGCTGCATGAGCCGGCTCTTCTTTGGCAAGTTCAATGAAAATATTCAATAAAAGTGTCAACACGCGTCCTAACTTCTAGTTCTACACTGTGATGTAATAAGTTTTATTATGAAATTGTAAATTTTATTATGCGTCAGCCGGCTTTCATATATAACGAGGCGGGCAGCTTCGCAGCGAAAGGCATAAGCTTGGCTTTTATAATATATAATTACATGCGCAAATCATATGCTCGGTTCAAGTATAGAGAACATGGCTCCCAATGAAAAACAACGTCATTTACCATCATATATAAATGATATTATACATATCATAATAGGTTGAGGGTTAGGTTAGGGTTATTGTTGGGTTAGGCGTTAGGGTGAGAATTAAGGGGGTTAAGGGTTAGGCACACTTGGTTTTAGTTGGGACCGATTCTCTCTATCGCTTGGCCCTAGTATGCCTCTATTCCATAGTACAATAGAAATGTTACACTTATATACAAAACAATGACGACGTAATAATCACATAAATCAATCCACATAGAGGTAGCCCTAGTTATATGTTTGAGTATATCCTAGGCAGGAGCGTTGCGGATAAGCCGGTGGAGTCGGTGCATGTATATATGGCGTATATATAGGGTTGGACCGCTCAAGGGTAACTTCGAGCAGGGCGAGTTCGAAGTTTTTCTGCGAAGTTTTTCTGCCACAATTAGAGCAATACAGGGCCCCCCTCGACAAGCAGCGGGTTAGACGAAGTTTTTGCTCATAAGCAGCACGCTGGACGATGTAATGATATCACAAAATGCTGTACGCACGCTTTGTAAGTTTTCCATAGACTAAGGCACGGCACTTGAAGCGTTTCAATAGAGAATTATAATGCCTAACGTAAATACAACTCGCTGTATTTCATACGATTTCAAAAGAAATACTCATCCGACAGTCCGTAAATGATTATGTATTTACTTAGTACAAAATTCTTAATGTTTCTTAGCTCCAAGAAACGGTATTGCTAGGGTTAGAATACCCTATTGACGTTAGTCATGCACACAGCCTGGTCGGGTTAAATGTTTCTATACTATAGGCTAGGCCTACTCTGTTTCACCTACGGATATTGAGCAGAAAAGTTTTGTAACCGTGCAGAAACGGTTTTGCGCGTTAATTCTTAACATTCGTAGACCTTAAGACGCCCGCACTGATTTTGTGGCTCAGGGCAACATACGCGCTGCTGCTGCTGACGGCCAGCCGGCGGCGGGGTTTTTTTTTTGCCAGAGAAACGTCTAGTGCGAATTCCTCAGTCTAACAAACATCAGTCAACGGGCTTACAAATCAACCGTAGGGAATCCAAGTGGCTAGTAATTTAGCATCCCAACGTCAACGATTCCAGCTAGACTGGTTACGGACCTTTACTCGGGCATAGTATCTTTTTTCGCTACACTAAAGCTTATAGTTAAGTGCCAGCGTCTGGAACTTCCACCGCGCGAGCAGTCTAAGCGGAATCGGCGGATCCTTGTGTTGAGCGTGTGTTTTTGGTACACTCATCTTATTCGGAAGTCTGTAAGCTGTGCTTTTGTACATTGACCTTACTCATGCATTAGTGTTGGCTGCGCCTGGTGTTAGTGTAAGAAAGCTAGGGGGGATTTAGGATAAAGCCTTTGTTAGTGGATTTTGCGCGGAAAAGAAAGAGCGTGCCATCTCTGTCGGCAAGAGGAATCGCTGACAAGCTGTTGCTCGTGTGTGTTGCAGATGTGGATTTCATGACACGCTAGTGATGCTGAGCCGTGTGATGTCGGGGCAGTGAACTGTGGCGCCTACGCGGAGTAGTGTTTCTGCAGGGGGTCGCCTGCACAGAACGTAACTGTGGTTGCAGGGCGCCTGCCACAGTCGCTAACTACATCGTTGTATGGTGTGAGTGTTACACGGATCGTTGGTGACAATTTTGCTGTCAATTGAATACAAGCTCTTAAGTCACCGTCATGGCGAGAGCGTTGTGTTTTGTGTGCGTGCACGCATAACGCCCACTTAAATTGCGTGGTCAGGAAGTGGGATGAGCGAGTGGGGCCCTGCAGTTTGCTTTCATGTGACACAGTAGTAGGATTGGCTTGTGAGACCTAAGTCACCACCAAGCGACGCCCCGCAGAGCCTGAGGAGGGCTGCCGAGGTCTGACGTCGACAGAGGGCGCGCCGATCGCTGACAAGATAGCGACCGTAGAGCGGTACATCACCATTGGCAGGGAGTGCGTGTGGAAATCGAGAGGCTAAGTTGACGTTAGAGAAGTCGAGAGCGGAAACGGTCAGGGGAAGTCAGCTGGGACAGAGGCGTCGGCGCGAAGAACTGCGAGAGGGCTCCCTGAGTAGCGTTCCTGACAATGCGGTTTAATAGTTTAAATGTACAGAGAGCGATCGTGTGCGGTAATTTGTACACAGCCTGTCATATTCAGCTGGTGTGGTAAATTTGTACTGTATTTTCTTGTGTTGAGGCTGGTGCGCGTAATGGCACGGTTCTGCGAACTTGTTGAAGGGTACATGTGTTAGCTGTGCTGGCTTGTAGGGTGAGTAAGCTCGCTCCACTTCTCCCTCCACTGTAAAGTGAGGAAGGGCCACTTGTTGACTCCGTTTTGGTGCTTTTGCCCCCATAAAATGAGTGTGATTGGGTGAGTGATCTGTGTGATCTGGGTTGTTGCCGACGCATATGCCAGGGGAAAGATGTGCGCTGGAGCGCCTGGGCACCAGGCGGAGAAAGCACCGTTGCCGAATTGGCGCGGACTTGGCAGCAGGCAGCTGGAGAGGCCGGGATGAAGAGGTGCGTAGCGCAGCGCCAGTTGAGTCGTGGCAAAACTAGCGACAGGACCTGGATGAGGCCGCAGGACCGCTTTTGATAGCGGTACGGCGAACTTGAAGACGTCTGTGGTCGTCGAACAAGGCGCAGACGCCGGGTACCATCTCGGGCGCGGCAGGGTCTCTCTGCTTGGCATCGCGGCATGCCCAGGCAGGTGCTGGGAGGGGGAATGTGCCCGAGTCCCAGAAGTAACTTTCCTTATCAGCGGGCTGGAGGGTTTGTGGGCAAAGGAGGTTAGGTCGAATGCTACCCTGACCCTTCCACGCACGCCAACGCCAGCATTTACGGCAGTAGTTACTACAGAGGACCTTTGGAGGTTCTAGTCTGCTCTCAGGAAGGTCCTGGGGCGAATTTTACAGGGGCGGACCCGACAGGAAGCGAGTGGGCGGAAGTCGCTGCTCGAGTTCTCCCTGGCCGTGACGCAGCCTCCAGGCAGCAAGTCAGGGGGCGAGGTCGACAGACTGCGCCTCCTTTGAACAGTTTGCAGAGGGAGTCTTTGACCCTGGGGTTGCAAAGGAACTGGCCGAGAGTGCGCGCGCAGAGTCAAAGCATGGGGGCGATCTTACAGAGCTCCGGCGAGTGGGCGGTAGGCATGGCTGGGGCGGCGACGACGCCAGGCCGAGAGGGGCTATGGGTTAAGGCGGTATCCGCCCACGGTTGATTCAAACCGGAGGCATCGAGCCGCATACCTGAAATCGGAGGCGTGAGATAGAACGAGGCTCAAGCAGAATGGACGGGAGATGGCTGTCACCCGTGGCCAGGAACAGAGATCGGGAGGCAGAAGGCGCGGGCTGGGGTCACCCGGCCGAGGAGGCTTTGCTACCAGTGCCACCGCACTGGTCACTTCAAAGCAGAGTGCCCCTGCAGAGCGTCCCCAACGCAAAGGGACTTGTACGAGTGGTGGTTCACCCGACCATACCGCAGACGCCCTGCCCTAAGCTGAGAGACGCACTCATCAGGAAGGAACGGGAACGACGACCCCTACAGTGCGTGAGCGGTGCAGTAGGAGGGGCACTAATGGCTGTCGGGAAAGCACTAGTCGAAGCCAGTTTTGAGGGAGCGGGGCATGGCACCGCTGCCCGAGGCTGAGCGTGGAAGGATCGCGGTGTGGGAGTTGAGGTGTTTACTGGACAGCGGGTCGCAGGTGTCATCCATATACGCTGAGAGCTCTTCAGGCATTGACGTTTGGCCTGGCGGGAGAGCTAGTTGATCTGCCGTGGCTTAGGCGTTGGGCGGCCAATGGCTTGAAGTTCCCTAACTTGCGGATACATCGACTCGATGTGTCCAAGGCCTGTGCGGCAGTGTGTTTCCGCAGATGGGGTTTTTGGTGTCTCGCGACCCTACTCACCTGAGGAACGAAGGCGACTTGGAGAGATTGCAGGGAATCATTAGGTGCAATATCTGCACGGAATGTCGCTGTGAGATGATAGTGCGGGACAGTGGCGGGGTGGTGCCTGGTCTGTCTCGGAGAGGCCGGAAGTTTGGATGCAGGCAGCTGTGTCAGCCATGGAGCAGGCTGCGAGTTAGCAGTGGCGCGTGCTGAGAGGACGCCGCCTGTTGCTTTTCGTTCGGTTCCTAGAGCTTAGTGTGGTAGCGCCTTGCAGCTTAGAAGCATAGGTGTGGTATCGTTGATCACCCGTGGGGGTGCAGGCCAGCATGAGGGTGTAAGTGGAGCCGTTGGGGTGTAGATAGCGGTGCTTGCCCAGGAATGCTGATCGCTGATTGCAACCCTGTGTCATGTCAGGGCCGGGGCACGTGGAAGCGCAATCGCTAATCTGAGGCGAGGAGGAGTTTGGTTAAACGCCTAAATCAAGGTGGGTCAAGTCCGTGGAGCATCTGCGGTGAATTAAGTGGCTAACCGTGAGGAACTTACGGTCATCAGAGATTTAGTCTTGCGGGGCGTCAGGATGAGAACGCATATGACGTCACAGAGTTTGATGAGTCAGCTCGGACTGTGGCACGGCGCGGGAGTTAAACGTGGCGCAAACGTGAAAGCAGAAGAGCATGCTCGGAGGTACCGATCCGNGCTGCCATGGCAACGCGACTCTGCACCGTCTCTCTGTTGGTCGGGGCGCTGCTTCTGTCGCCACGACTAACTTAGTAATAGTTGTTCTTGTTTGTTGTTGTCGTTGTTGACGATGATGTTGTTAACGTTTTTGTAAATATCGCACGGGGACGAAACCTGGTTGCCCTTGAGCAGAGTCGAATTCGTTATGCAGAAGAGCGTTTCACAAGCTATTCAGACATTTCTCGGCAAGATATTCAGCTTGTGTCACTACGTATGTATCGCTGGCTGTCACGTCCCCACCTCACAGTGAGCACGCTCACCACGTGGCCCTACTAATATACCACACATACCTGTACCTACATCAAGAGCACATAATAACGATCTCTATTATGTACTCTTGACCTACCAGTAGCACTACAGCAAATATATAGCGGACACACTGAATAAACTTTGATCGCGTGTGTGTTAGTTGAGAGCACACAACCCGGACATCCAATCAGCAAACATAGCAACATACAAACACAGTACATGGGATTTTGCTTGGGAATTACAAAGATATATCGTCTGGTATCATATGTCGCATCTCACGTACTGGTGTGTCCCTTTCGTATATTTCCTAGTTCATCTCCCTTGATCGTTAGAAAAAACGGGGCTCGTGTACTTACACACTTGCATTGATTTGTTTTCCAATACGTTACTGCCACTGATAACGCAGTCACCGCAGTGAATTATATAGGTGCACGTAATATAGGAAAGACACACACAGACATGTATTGTAGAGCAAGCAAAGACACCAGTGTATTATAACATCACAATTGCTTTTATTAGCTCGTCACATACGAAGTGTCGCGTACATCATACACTGCGTAAGTTTACAGCTATCCTAGATCTTTTCCTACACATCGCATAATATTTTACTTGCGTCCTAACGCTACGTCTAGTTTCACATATGCACATTCGTGTATAATTTAATAACTCCCTTTCCGACGCAGTACCTTCTACAGTAAACTAAAAGATTCGCATACGGCGTGAATTTTTTCTGTCAAACAGACGACACTGTCAAACGCACTTCACTTCACGACTGAGTATAACTATACTTACCCACTCAGGGCGTGCTCGAATTATTCGTACATAATTTGATAACTCCCTTTTCGACGCAGCACCTTACAACCCAACGTAAAGATATGCACACGACATGAATTCTCCTATCAAACACACTTCACTTCACGACTTAGTATAACTCTTTAGTCTCCACGGCGCAACACCCTCCACTGACTTCCTCACATTTGAGCACGTCCCCAGTGTCACCAGGGCAGGTAAGGCACTAGTTGCTGTCGTGACTGTGGTGGCAGAACGGCCCTTGTATCACTGCATGGCCGTCTGCAGGCCAGGGAATGGTGTCATGCCCTTATTGTGACCCTCGGCGACCATGTTGGCAAACTTTAAAACTGGAAACGACGTGGACATGAGAGCACTGGTACGGTGGCGACTGGTAGGCATTATTCTTTCAGCTATGTCCCTCCGACATTCCAGCAAGCAATGGCTAGCAGAGAGTCCAGATCATAGATATCTACTAGTATCTAGATAGTAATACATAATTTTTGACAGGAGAAAGAGAGTGAGGGGCAGTGAGAGCAATATAGCAGTTTAGAAGTTGAACATACAGACAATGTGTACAACAAATAATCCTAATTTAACTAGAAAGGGCAGTTGTCGCCAACTACATATGTATCCCCCGTGATCTAGTATGAATGAAATACCTCTGTAAAGACGTAGAAGGTAGGTAAAGTTAAATAAGTCACAAAGACAAAGGTTTGTTACACAACTCATCTGCCTGAGATGTGCAAGTATGTTAAAATTGGTTGCCTTAGGGGTTTTGGTACGCGACACACCTTCTCCCCAAGATTTGTAAGTATACGAAGTTTGCTCGCGCTAGGTCAATTAGGGGCCAAGTTATAGAGCGGAAAGGAAATATGATAAAGGCCAAGGTTAAGGTCAATGTCAAATAAAGGTCGCAGTGACCTGGTTTCGGTACGCGACACACCTTCTCCCCAAGATGTGTAAGTATACCAAGTTTGGTAGCGCTAGGTTAATTAGGGGCCGAGTTATAGAGCGGAAGGAAAAGTGTCTGCGTCCGACCGAGCGGCGGCTGGACAGACATGAAACCATAGTATCCCCGCCGACTTCGTCGCGGGGGATTACAATAATGCACGTTTGCACGATCTTGACAGGTAGAACCAGTGAGAGCAAACTGTACATCATTAATTACACGAACAAGGTGTCCTCGATCAAACATGACTAAGTAAATAAATAAACAAATAAATGAATGTAAGTAGTACATACATTCGTTTAGTGGTCCGAATTCGGTTTTGAATGCCGCAACAACACTGGCACCTGCCGTATGTACAATGGAGTCACATGCTGGTACCTCCAGCCTCGTAAATCAGAGATACGGCTGCCGTACCACCAGCCACTGCCCTCGGAAAAAGGGAGAGCTTGAACCCAGAATGCAATGCATCGCATTTGCAGTAAACACATTTCGTGTTTTTTATCATCTTTCTGTTAGTGAAACGTGCTCCAAGTGCCCGTGGACGAGTCTAGTTCACCTGGTACACCCATCTAGCGCAGGCCCGTCTCCACACACGCGGCGCGGCACGGAACGCCACGGAAACGGCGCCGTTCACCCTTACCGGGAAAGTTCAAATCTATTATATCTTATGGCGCAGTCTCCACTGACACGGCACGGCGCCAGCCGGGTTTCACGGCGACGGCGAAATTTAAATGAGTTTGACTTTTGCCGGCTGCCGTGTACGGAGAAAGACAGTTGAACCCATCAACGCAATTGTTACTCTTGACCTACATATACCAGTAGCACCACAGCAAATATATAGCGGACACACTGAATAAACTTTGATCGCGTGTGTTAGTTAATTGAGAGCACACAACCCGGACATCCAATCAGCGAACAGCAACATCGATACATCATACATACGAACATAGCAACATACGAACACAGTACATGGGATTTTGCTTGGGAATTACAAAGATATATCGTCTGGTATCATATGTCGCATCTCACGTACTGGTGTGTCCCTTCCGTATATTTCCTAGTTTATCTCCCTTGATCGTCAGAAAAAAGAGGCTCGTGTACTTATGCACTTAATTGCATTGATTTGTTTTCCAATACGTTCTCCCGCCACCCGACTGGTGACCCCGCCAAAATGCAACTTGAAGATGACATCTCCGCCATCAGGCACGTTCCACAGAGCAGCACCACCCCACCAGATCTGTGCACACAGCGGGATGTATACCACAACATCATCTCCGGTATTCGTAGCTCTAGTACTATAGCCCGCGTTCGATTAACTGCCGCAGGCCTGCGGCAGTTAATCCTGCGGCAGTTAATCGAATGCCTGCGGCAGTTAATCGGCAGTTAATCGGCAGTTAATGCGGCAGTTAATCGAATTAATGCCTGCGGCAGTTAATCGAACGCGGGCAGTCTTTATTCAATACAGATTACAAATGATGGGACTCAATCTGAAACCAATAGAAAAGAGAGTTACATTGTGGTATATTATTGTCTATCCCCCCAAGTCATTGGTATGTCTGTATTTAGAGAGAGGTGCCAATGACTGACTGATTAAAAGTAACACATGAAACGAAAGCATAAATCTTCGGAGATGTCTTTATCATACTTATGGTGAATAACTCAATGTTTGATTAGGAGCACTTGTCCATAAGAAATTAACGTTAAAAATTAACAAGATTATTTGTAGATTATGACGCCATCTACTGTGTAAAGATGATCCCGGAACTGATGATATTCCTGCAGTGGCGGGCAGACCAATTCATGGCGGAATTCTGGCATGCCTGTTTCGATCCAGTCGACCAGCTTGTTCGTATTAACGTCACTACATGTGGCTGTGCGGACCTTGTCCCACGTGATAGCTCTGCCAAAGACGCACATCACAGGGGAGAGTTTGGTGTGTTTATCTGGGCAATTTCGGTACTGCAGCATTGCACGTTGGAAGTTGTCTGTGTCAAGTTCACTATATGGTCCTGTGTTGTCAGTTATAATTGTCGTTTGACAGTTTTCACTCCGACTTCTGCACGACAGTTGCTGTGGCGGAAGGCAACAGACGATAAGCGTGACTGAACACCCAGTTCTTCATGAACTCGCGGTTGCGGCAGCAGTAAATTCAGGGTCACGTCAGATGCAAGTTCGTCGGGTTATGCCATAGGTGACGAATGCTCTGCGGAGGCCTGTTAACTAGCCAGTGGACCACATAAGGCCTTTTCAACGATAGGCCAGTTGGAGTATCTGTCAACGATTGCCAGGTATGTCGGCTGTTGTAGTGGAAATAATCAGCACACACTCTTGGAATAGGTATACCGGCGGTGTTGTGGGTGTTGGCGGTGCGCTAGGCTGTGAAGGCTGCCATTCGGTTGCAATGGGTGCAGCTATTTCTGACGGCAGTGATGCGGAGTATTCACAGGCCTATAACAGGATATTTCTCGCTCTGCAATCATCGATGACGTGCTCTGCGTGTGCGGCATGAAGGGCCGTCGAAACAGTCATGTCTGAGTGACGGTGGGATCACGACTCTGTCTTTGTAGATTATGACGCATCTACTGTGTAAAGATGATCCCGGAACTGATGAGTATTCCTGCAGTGGCGCAGGCAATTCATGGCGGAATTCTGGCATGCTGTTTCGATCGCAGTCGACCAGCTTGTTCGTATTAACGTCCACTACATGTGGCTGTGCGGACCTTGTCCCACGTGATAGTTTGTAGCGAGATCAGTGATGAGGTCGCGGCAATTAAGGTGGACGATGTCTTCCATCTTATCCTGGTGGTCGTCTCTGCAGCGAATACCGTAGCTCTAGTACTATAGCACGAAGGGTCGTTGTCGTAACAGGTACTACAGATATGTACCCGAGGTAGTTTTAGGTTGTTTAGTATTATGTTTATATTTTTATATGAGGTATGTTTAGGGTTGGGTTAGGGTTAGGGTTAGAGTTAGGGTTAGGATTAGGGTTAGTGTTAGGGTTAGGGTACACTTCTGTAGTACAAGTCTGGTACTCTTTTGTGATACATATATGTACCTCGGGTACATATCTTAGTACCTGTTACGACAACGACCCTTGAGCAGTACTATAGC